GGGGGGCACTCACTCCTTTCTCCGCTTGGTGTTCGGATGTGACTTTAAAATGAGATCACTGTATTTAAATCATATTTACTGACGCAGAAAGATGTCGCACAGAAATAATTTTTTGTTTTTTTATTATTAAAACATGTACCAGACTTGACTGCTTTTGCAGCTTTAATCCTGATCGACACGTTGATTCAAAGCTTACGGGCTGCAGCTCGCCGATCGCTTTTAACATGAAAGCTGCATCGTAAGAAATTCTTTGTGCGTTTTCCATTATTGCTGAACAAATGAACAGGTCTGTGCATGAAGCGCAAAATATGATAAACAACAGGGAGGATCTGAAGAAATTAATGCACGTCTGTCTTGGGGTGGTCCTCCAGAGTGCCTCATTGGTCATTCAGGTTAGATTTCTGGTCACATGACAGAGTGGGTGGAGTTATGATAGCAATTTGAAACCATGAGCAAGAGTCGTACATCTGATTACCTGAGGGCATTCACAAACGCCTGCCCCCATGAGGGGCGCGGTGCTGGAAGCCTTTAGCTCTCAGCTCTGTCAAAGAAAAACATTAGTCAGTGGCAGGAAGCCACCAAGGGAATGGCAGGAAGTCCTTCAAAATAAAATATAAATATATACATTTTGAAAATTATGAAAAAAAAATGCAAAATTAGATGCTCCTGCTTATAAACTGCAGGGTACAAACTGCGAGACAAAAGTAGTGGCTTAAAGAACGGAAATTACGGTAATTTGAGAGAAAACATGTCTAACCAAATTTAAAATGTTCCAAGCATAAGTAACAAGAATATAAGGCTTTGCGACTCAGGTGAGGAAAATGAAACCCCCTGCAATTGTTTCGAGACATTTTGGAGACTCCCAACTTCTTGTAAATTTTTTACAGTCCAATGCACAACAACTGTTTCTGTATTTTAGTGGTTTTGAAGACAATTCTACAATCTGTGATCATTCATATTGACAATAACATCTGTACAAAACACTGACAGTGACCTCTTTTTAGAGCCAATGCAGCACTCAAGCCTGTTTATCTTACCATGATAGAGGACTTTGCTGCAGTGTAAACATTCAAACACTAAGGCGAGATAATCAAAACATTGTACAGATAGACTTGGAAAATTTGAGCCCAGACTTGGTCTGTAGCACATCGTGCCTTGCTGCTAATAACGATGCACAGCTTGTCAAGTCCTCAAGACACAGGATGCCAGGACCGTACACTTTAGAATTGAAGCAGCCAGGGAAGCATACGCATTGTGTAGCTAGGCTCTAACTATAGTCTGATTCAGAAAGGGCAAGCTCTTGATGGATAGGGAACCAAGAGTCAAGTTCCCCATTGCACAACTCCCACCAGAACACCCAAGGCAAGGGGACAGGAACCCGAAACTCTGGTAGAAACAATATTGCCACTTGGACAATCATGTTCTTTTGCTTAGCAGCCCTTTTACCGGGGCCATGAATGACTGATCCAAAAACTAAATCAAACAAACTGCTCAGTCTTTAACAGCAACACAAGACACTTTTACAAAACAGTTCTGCAAAATGGCCACAATGGCCTCTTGTATTTTTGGCTATTTTATTATTATTTTTTCATAAATGCACGGTGGCGCAACTGACAGAGCTGCTGCCTCTCGGCGCGCAGGTCCTCTTTTCGAATCCCAGTCTGGGGGCCTTTCTGGGTGGAGTTTGCATATTCTGTTAATGCATGCGTGGGTTTTCTCCAGGTACACCGGTTTCCTCCCACAGGCCAAAAACATGCATGTTAGGCTGATTGGTAACTCTAAATTGTCCCTAGGTGTGAGTGAGAGAGTGAATGGTTGTTTGTCGCTGTGTGGCCCTGTGATGGCCTTGCAACCTGTCCAGGGTGTACCCCGCCCCTCACATGATGATTGCCAGACATGGGCACCGGCGACCCCTGTGACCCAAAATGGAAAGAGCGGGTAAAGGATAATGGATGAATGGATGGTTCATAAGTGTAACTTCATAAATCACAGATGAAGCTGGTCATGTCCAGCAGAGCTGTGTGCTTTCATAAATGAAGCAAGCATCACAAAACCAAAAGAGGTGTGGGTTAGAACGCTACGTTGACATGAAATGCAACGCATTAGCGCAGCTTACCTGTTCATACCATACCAATTTATTTCTAAAGCACTTAAAATGCAACATAGCTCCTGACCGAAGTGCTGTACAAAAATAAATAAATAAAAAACAACAGTAAAACAATAAGACAATTATATATATATTTTTTTAATCAAAAACAAGTAAAAGAATACGACTTAAGACACAGACGCTAGCTCACTCTAGGTTAAAAGCAAAAGGGGGAAAAAGGTGTTTTTAAACCA